TGTTCTCGCCCGAGTGGCCTGGCACTTCAAATGGGCGCGGGGCGGGGCCGTATCTCTCTCCCTCTCTCTCTATATATATATATACATATATGTATAGTATATGTATATATGTGTTTGTAAATATAGATGTAGACATGTATTGTCGTTGGTGATGCGTTTGCTCTGGTCGGGCGACTCTTCCTCCCTCTCGTTCTCTTGTTTTAAGATGTTGGGTCAATATTGCTATTTTTTCATGCAAGCGCTCGCCCCGATGAAACGTATTGTATGATGTGGGGTTGTTGTTTATTTCTTCTACACTTTGCATTATTTGATGGGTGAAGTTATCGGAAACGATTGCGGCAATGGTTTTATGATGCATATTTGATGGCGCATGGCTCGGGACTATAATATGGGAGCGGGTAGTATTTTTTAGGAACATGATGACGGGACTGGAAAATAGTCCTTTTAGACCTCTGGGTTAGCCTCTTCATCTCAGGGACTTGCCAGGCCATACTTGTGAGAGGATTCTCGACCACAACTGGGATCTGTCTCATGATTGTAGCTCTGATGAAACGGGCAGTGGCGGCAAGGGTCTTATTACCAAGGCTCACTTTGTGCTCTTGCTCTGCTGTCAAATTCGCTCGGCCACGGAACTCCCCGGGGCGACGGTACGTGCGCCGTGAGGCTGCAGACCAAGTCGTGCATGGAAAAGCGACCCAGAGCCCTCGCACGCGCCTGCTGGCCATCCAGCCCAAGATGAGCTGCTGGGCCGAGCGGCGGGTGAGATCGAAAGCTACGTCGGCCTCCATGTCGATCTGGAGGCAACCGTTGTCGCCGTGGCGCTCGAGGGCCTTGGCGACGCCGCCGGCGCCGCTGAACAAGTCCAGGAACACCTGCCCACGGCGCCGGCCTCGCGTGCTGGCCCGAGCGAGCCCCTGACGGAGGCGGCGGATCACCTTGGTGTCCGAGGCCCGCTCCACCGCCTCTAGGGCGTCGCCTTGGCGCATCACGGCGCCCGTCCGCAGCCCGCGGCGCCGGCGAGGGCCGGCGGTGGCGGGAGGCGGACCCGCCCGCTGAGCATCCCGTCGAGCTGCCTGAGGACCTGCTCGCCGTAGGACCGGGCCCGGCTGTCGAGGCTGTTGACCTCGGCCAGGTACCTGGTCCCCTTCTTGTACCGACGGGTGCTGGACTCGCACAGGTGGCGGAGCCGCTCCTGGATCTCCTTCAGGCTGCGCCGGCACTCTAGTGCGTCCAGAGAGGCTCCCCCGTGCCTGACCTGGTCGGGGTTCTTGCCTCCGAGGCTGACCTTCGCGGCGTACTCGTTGAACGGGCGCCTGAAGGTGGCGCTCGAGAAGGACCACAGCGGGCTGGCGTCGGCGGTCTGGGCCTTCAGCCGGCGAAGGAAAGGCGCTAGCGTGGATCCGAACTGGCCGTCCAGCATGACCCCCTCGTCGTAGTGCCCCATCTTGCTGCGCGCCTCCCCCTCCTGAGGAAACAGGAGCAGGCCCCAGCGCGCCCGGGGGCCCCGGGCGGCTGGCCTGACCAGAGAGGCGCCCACCGTGCTCACGAGGTCGGACGGCAGCCTGAGGTAGGCTTCCCACGCCAGCACCAGCCCCAAGGCAAAGGGGAGCTGGCCGTCGGCCGCTGCTGCACCCACGATGGCCATCACGCCCGCCAGCGGCAGGGGGCTGCGGGTCCTCGCGCTCGCCCGGCGCCGGAAACCTGCCAGCGCCCGGCGAGCTCCTGGAAGCTCCAGGCCCTCCACTGGGCCGTGGAAGGCCACAGCCGCCAGCACCTTCTCGCCCGCGTCCGCGTTGAAGCCCTCGTAGTACAGGTAGTCCATGTACCTGCTGAGGGCCCGGTCGATCTGGAGGTCGGTGTCCAGGGGCTGACCCTCTTGGCTGCTCCACTCCAGGAAGGCCTGGTGGAACTTCTGGTACTGAGCGCGGGGGCGAGGCCCTTTCTTGGCCATCTGGAGGCTGGTGAAGCCGTGGCGCCGGGCCTCGGCGATCTCCCGCGCCTGGTGCTGCCGTCGCTGCTGTCCGCGGCGGGCTCGCAGATCGTGAGATGCTGCTCGAGTCGACCGTGCCGCAGTCGGCCCGCGCCGTGCGCGGCGGCGCCTGGCCGTCGCTGCCGCTGGGGCCGGCTGGCCAGCTCTCCCCCGAGCTGGAGGAGCTGTCGCTGAGCTCACCGGCCTCCGCGGCGGCGGTGCCGAGCTTGGCCTCCTCAGCAGCGAGCTGGTCCCCCAGGCCGGCGAGGGGGCGGCCGCAGGCGTCCCCGCCAAAGGCGGGCCCAAGGCTGCGGGCCGCGCTCTCCAGCTCGGCATCGAAGCGGCTGGCGAGCAGGGCCTCGGACGGCGCAGCATCGCCCCCCGCCGCGCGAAGCCCGCCCCCGCCCAGCGAGATGGCTGAGCCCGGGAGTCTGGACGCCCGCGGTCGGATGGATTCAACTCAGAGGCGACCCAGCTCACCACGACCTGGAGATTGGCAACAACTGACAAACACAGAAGCTCGCGACATGTTCGGTTCATCTGATGGCTGCTGGATCTACCCTTACCCAAACTCAATACCACACTCATGTTGTCCACAAGAAAGAGTATACGTTTTCCGTGCGTGCTCGTGGACCTCAGCTCGTGACGGAGGCCGATCATGCATGCTCGGACCTCGGTCCTCAGGACGCCCTCGGCCCGGGCCCATCGGCCCCGGCACACCAGCTTCCAGTTCTCGAAGGCCCCGATGTCGTCTCGCGTCATGCTCTCGTCTGTGGTCCTCTCGCCGCTCTGCGCCGTCGGGCGAGGCGAGCTGGGGTCGGCGGGGCTGCCCAGCGCGGCCGCCCTGGCCGCGACGAGCCCCTGCACCCCGTAGCGCCACTTCTCGGCATGCCCGCAGCAGCGCCGGACCTTCTCCACGGGCCACTCCTGCGTGACCACGCCGTAGCCGCCGGCGTCGTCCAGCCCGGCGCCTGAGGAGTCGGTCGCCACGACCGCGGCGTGGAACGGGCGCTTGGAGTCCGCGAAGGCGAAGGCCACGAGGGCGGCGGCCTGGCGGAGCTCCCGCTCGGCCGAAGGCCACAGGCGCCACCTCTTGTCGCCCGCCTTCTCCGCCCAGGCGTAGACGCTGCTGAAGACGCTGAGGAGCTCACGCCGCAGAGTCGCGCTCCACGTGTAGTGGCCGACCAGGCGCCGCATCTGGCGTCCAGTCAAGTAGCGCTGGTCCGCAGCAAACAGCAGGGCCGCGCGCAGCCTCCAGATCCTCTCGCGGCTGAGCGAGATGCGGCCGGAGGTCCGATCGAACTCCATCCCCGTGAAGGTCTGGGAGTCCGAGGGGCCTTCGACCCCCTTGACCTGGAGGCCGCGCTCCTCCAGCTGCTTGGCCACGGCGACTCCGCCGGCCTCGACTGCCTCCAGGTCCGTCCCCACCACGGCCGCGCCGTCGACGCACGCGGCGGCGACTGGCTGGGTGGCGATGTCGGGGGCCGAGTGGCGGTCCAGGAACATCCGCCCGTCAGCGAAGCCAGCGTCCTCTGCGGCGTTGCGGACCATCTCCTGGCAGAGGAACAGCGCCCAGTTGAACCCCATGGGCAGCACCTCCATGCGAGGGGAGATGCGGATGCCCGCGGGGAGACCAGGGGCCAGCCCGGGGGCGGCCTCGGAGATCCACTTGGCGTCGACGCTGGGCAGGATAAAGTAGTCGTTCATGCCGGGGGGGGAGCTGGATACGATAGAACGCGTTGTTGACATCGGTCTGAGACATCATCAGCTCCGCCTCGGGTGGCAAGTACAGAGAGGACCAGCTCGATGGTGTAGAGAGCTGGGTGTGGCAAGGATCCAAAAACAGCTTGTTTGCTCGTCGAGTGTCCAGGATGAGTCGAAGACGATCTGGACCTTTCTTTCCACGGTGGACGGCCTCTCGCTCGTGAAGGAGACGAGCCCTGAACGTGCCATGTCCACCAAAAACTCGGCGTACGTGCCGCTGTCCCGAATCAGCTTGGGGTCAGAGTACGGCCGCGCTGCCCCGGAGAGGTCCGGGTTGGGGTGCAAGAGACAGTCTCGCCACCCTGTCCACATTTGCAATGCCGGCCCTCGAAGACAGACGTCGCCACGAGCAAGGTCAGCTCCAGGAGCCGGCAACGAGACTGCGCCTCGTCGATAGGGTGAATGTTCTGCCGAGGGCTCAGTATACCCTGGCGCCGATCCGCACGGCACTCGAAAGGCTGCCGCGGGCTCGATCATGGGTGGTCCAGCTCGCTGCACCACGTCACGGATGTGGTCCAGGGCGAGCTGCTACCCAGCTGAGACGGAGTGATGCTGCTGTACCTCGCCGTGGAAGTACACATTGTTGACTGCGTCGATGATCTCATTGGCCCAGGACGAGCAGGCTGCGCGACGACGAACACGTGGGCGCACAGCCCGGCTGACGCCTGCCACGGAGGGCGAGGCGCCTGAGGCCGCAGGGCCCCTCAGAGGGAGGAGCTCCCGCGGCGCGATCATCAGGGCGACTAGGTGCCTCGGCCGCGGCCCTTGGCCGCAGCCTGCCTCTCCCCCGCGGCTGGGTCGCCCCCGCCGCCGTGGTTGAGCTTCGCCTGGAGCGTCGAGAGCTCCGCCGCCTGCTGCTTGATCTTCGTCTCCATCGCTGCCGCGGACGCCGAACCCCCGCCGCCGCCAGCTGGTGGTAGCCCGCGGGACGCCAGGCGCTCCTCGCGGAGCTTGCGCCTCTCCTTGAGCACCGCCGACTCGCGGTGCAGCTCGTCCGAGATGTGGGCCTGCAGCTCCGGGGCCACCATGAGTAGCCCCCTCGTCTCCGCCGCCCCCATGTAGAGGAACTCGTCCTCCGCCGTGTCGTCCGGGAGTGGACGTCCCAGCGCGCGCTCTCTGTATCTCCACTCCGTCATCTGCGCGCGCCTGAGCATGAGCTCGAAGCTGGCCAACTCCCCGATGTTCAATTGGTCGTAGATGATGGCCAGCTCCAGCACTCGCATGCACAACTCGTGCTCCGAGACACCGACGTCGGCAGTCGTGAGACCGCACTCGGCCTTCCACTTAGTGTGCCTCGAGCGTGGGTGACGGTCCTGGCCGCCCACGAAGTTGGCACGCCAGACAGTCGTACGTGGCCCGCGCACGGGCCACTCTCGCCAGGCCGTCTCGGTGAGCCCCTTGAGCGAGTCCTTGAAATGCCGCTTGCGAACGCCCTCGACCTCCACGAGCGGCAAGAGCCTGGCGTCCACCTCCGCGTCGTCCTCCGGCGAGGACTTCTCGACCTCCCTCAGCAGGAGCAGCTCCCCCTCCTGAGATGCCAGCGCGAAGCCGCCCGCGGTGCAGTACTCGTCCACGTCGTAGTCCTGCAGCGGGCGGCGCTCGGGTGTTGGGCCACTGGCGGCCTGAACCTGCCAGCGCATCCCCACCGCGGATGGCAGGGCGCCCGAGCCACGCACGAAGCTACTCGGAGGAGCTCCCCCAGCCAAGACCGCGCCAGCTGGGAGCGGCCCCTTCTTGCTCATCCGTCGCAACACCGACGCCGTCTTGTCCGCCACCTGCGGGGCTGCCTCGAACAAGGAGCCGCCCAGAGCGAACTGCAGCGCGTCGACGAACTCCTCTGGCGTCGGGGTCCACTCCTGTCCGTAGATCCTGCCGCCTGCTCGCCACGTCCCCCCGAACTGCAAGGGCCCGCTCCGCTCAGGCAGGCCCATCTGATCGCACAGCGCCGATCCCCGGACTCCCGGGGGTTCCAGCACGTGAATGTACACGTCCCCGTCGGGGGTGAGAGCGTACCATATGTCGCCGTTCTTCCCCGCTGCTTTCACGCCAGTCATCTGGAGATCGCTCTCGGCGTCGGCGGTAGTACCAGGACAAAGGAGCACGCGCGTCTGCCAGTCTTCTCCGTCCTTCCACAAGACTCCGATCCTGTGACCAGCTCGCCAGGCGGCCATGGCTCAGAGCCATACCTTTGCAGCAGAGACACCCTCCGATGCAGCCCAAGAACACTCCTGCGGCGAAGAGAAAGATGAAGGCGACCCTCAAATCGCCGATGCTATTGGCGATCACCACACAGTTGCCGGCCTGGCTCGCCCACTGCGATGCGACCCCGCCGGCGATGGCGGCCAGGTGGTGTGCCCCCGAGAGAATGTGCCCGAGGGATTGCATAGGCGAGGCCGCAAATTAAAAGCTTGAGCAAAAACGGTGACGGACCCACGTCCGTCCCCTGTCGGCTTGCTGACTTTTGCACAACGTGTTTACTTACAAACCGCCAATATATATACACACACATATCTACATATCGCCGAATGGCTATGCTCATGGCAATTTAGCATCATAGTATCCACTATGTCTTCAGTATGACATGGAATGCCTCAAGGCCCATACAGTTCAAAAGGTTGACGGTATTGACGCACTCGTTCAGGTCCAAGCACCAAATTAGTTGGACTGCCGAGACACTCTCGGAGTGTGCCGAGTGAGTCTCCAGGACGCCCCTGTCGCCCACAACGACGCCACAAATGCCACAGGACGGCCCAAAACAGTAAAGCTCCAAGACCTGAGCATTCTCTTAGGGTGGGTGGCCTATGGTGAAATCCATGTGGGCGCTTGCACTTCGAATATCCATCCGTCTTGTGGTTGGGTGGCTTTCGGGCTTGCGCTGTACAGTGGCCAGCGTATATGCAGCCTTTGGTTTCTGCTAAGACGTCGCTGTTGCGCTCACACACGGTGAGATGCAAGTGATTGCTCTCACGCTACAGCTTTTTCCATTGAGCTGTTGCCACCCTGCCAATGTCACGCGCGGGTTGCTCGTGACTCGACGGTTCCACGCGCAACGCCTTTGATAGTGGCAACCCAGCGCGATCTGTTTGACGTTTTCTTGTGGGTTCGCCCTGGAGTTTGGGCCCCATCCATGTCCCTGATTGGCTGGATGGCAAGTTCGCTGGTTGGCTGGCTCACTGATTGATTGGTTGGTTGGCAAGTTCGCTGGTTCGACTGGCAGATTGATTGTTTGGTTGGCTGGTTGGCTGGCTGGCTGGATGGCTGGCTGACTCTCTGTCGCACCGAGCACACGACTGGCCGCCCGACGGGTGAACTACCACCAGCTACCACGCGACCGGCGCCCAGCAGGTGAACGAGCCCGCGACAGGCACCCGGCAAGCGAACGACCAAGCGAATTGCGCCAGACAAGTGAATCCAGATGTCTAAAGTTGTTGTTCGCGTTGCAGTGTTTATGCCGTAGTTCTAGAAACTGTTCTGGCGTTGTGAAATTATATTAGGCTTGCACTTCATGAAGTGTGAAAATCTAAGCTAACGCATCGCATGATTGCATGACTGTTTGATTTCTAGAACGCTCGTGGTGGCTCTACAATTTCGTTTCACGTTCTAGAATTACGGTCGGTGGGACACGCGTGCGAAACGCTGCGGCTATCGGATGTCGAAGCCCTGAATGTAGCCAGGATCGGGCTCCGGAAGAGAGCAAACGCATGTGTTGCGGAGCCAGCGGATTTCAGATTGGCGAAATGAGGGGTTGGGGGCCTGGATGGAGAGGGGGCGACTCGAACAAGTGAGGCTCTGAAGACGGCGTGGCGTGGACATGGACAGGGGCCGAATACGCGTGGTTACTAGAGAAGAGATGGACCCCCCCCCGCCGTCTTCAGTGATTAGTGCGGATGGCCAGATGACGATGTGGGGTAGAGGGCTACGAGGGTGGAAAGAAGGTAGAGGAGGAGCGGGCTTTCAAGCTTTGGAAGAGGAGCTGCAAGAGGAGGCGGCGGCAAAAGTGGGGGTGCAGGCGGAAACGTGGAGCAGGAGGCGGAGACGGAACGGATAGGGGGGAAGGGGATGGAAGTTGACGGGTGGGGATGTTTTGGGCCAAGCTGCATTTGAGATTTCACCCTCCGCCCTCCACCCAGAGAGTATGCTCGGAATCTTGTCCAAGATGGTCCCAACACGGCCCATCATCGCCTCAAAATGGCCCAAGACGCCCCCAGGACGCCCCGCAGAGACCACAATACGCTCCAACAAGCCCCCGCCACGTTCCAAGAGGGCTCCAAGAGAGCCCGTAGAAGCAACATCAGTGTTGTCCAATTGTAGGCTCATGCGTAATGGTAGCCTTTTTCCTGGCCTCCACCGCTCCGAGACGTTTCTAAACAGGCCCTCAGAAGGCTCAAACGCGTCCCACAGCGGCTGGCCGAGTGAGGCCCCCCTACGGCAGCATCCGAACGCCAAAATGCCCCGCAGAGGCTCCCAGGAAATTACCAAAAGGCCCCCACGAAACTCCCCCTCGTCCCCTCCTTCTGCTCCCTCTCCTTTACCTTCTTTTCCTCCCAACTCTTCACCTTCGGAAGTCCGCAGCGGCTGGGGGAACACATATCCAATTAGTCTGGCAAAACTTCGGCCCAACGTTTGGCCGCAGCGGCGCTTCCAAAAGGCTGGTGTGCGGCGGTGGTTCGCCATAGGCATTGTCAATGAGCATGCCTTGAAATTGTGCATGTGTGTATATATATATGTGTGTATATACAAACACGTGTCCGGACACTGTGATCTCGAGTTTTGTTTTCGGGGTTCGGGGGTTCTGGGGCGTTCTCAATCCTGTTTGGGCCTCGGAGGGTCTTTTGGGGGTCTCCGTGGGAGCCTGTAGAAGCCGACGAGTACAACGCCGTTGCCGACAATGGTTTTCAACGTCGTCGGTGTCTTTGTCTTTGTCGTCGTCGTCGTCGTCGATGGTCTCCAAAAGCCGTCGGCGACGACGATACCGTCCTTTTCGTCGTCGTCGGCGGCTCGAGGACGGAAGGGTGGCGATGATGACGACGTCGGCAACGATCCTGTGACGTCCCATATGTCCATCCGTGGCGTTGGGCGACACATCGAAACAGATGATTGCCAGCTCGGGCCACAACTGGCACGGTAGGGCCGCGGGCAGCCGCCTGCGCCGTGGCCAGCTCCGCCTTCAGCGCCTCCGCCGCGTTCTCCGCGGCGGCGCTGGCGTCCGCGGCCGACTTGGCTTCGGCCTGACCCCGGGGCGGGCGCGACGTCAGCACTGTGTTCTGCGTTTGCTAATTTTGCACGGGTAGCATCTACTTCGTACAACACACGCGCATACTTACACATGCATGTACTTGTATAGTTATAACTTTGTATTATTTTTGTAAAGATGTAGGTGTGTATATATATATAAACATACATATGCTGGGGAGGCGCCCGAGGCCCCCGCGATGCTCCTGCAAATATTCATGCGTAGCCGTGCAGTGCATCGATATTGTGGTCACCGCCCGACGATCGTCACCAGTTGTTGTTGGATGTGCGCCTGACGGCCACGCTGAGTTGCATTGGCAGCGCGGCCCGCGACAAGCGGCCCCCCGCCGAGCTTGCAACTGCTTCTGTTCGGACGTGAAGTGGCGACGACGATTTGCGTGCATGATGTCTGGAATATGAAGGCCACGGCGCTTTGGCCATGCTTTTAGCAGAGGACGATGCCCACGGCAGTACCGGGGGCTGACACACACACACACACAACAGTGTGGCTGCAACGAAAGAACCCAATGTGTAGAGCTCTCAACTCATCCAACATGTGCCCATCATGTGACCACAGATCCTGCTTGCCCCGTGTCCCCGGGAAAAAAAACGTGGGCAAGGGGAGCGCGATTGTCCAAAATGCTGGTTCACCGCGGGGATCAACGGCCAACAAATTCAATCGCGCGTCGCCAAGTCTCATCGACGATCCGGGTGCCACCCGTGGCGCAAATCACTTCTCTGCCAGCCGTGCGGTGGCGACGTGGTCGCGCGTGCTTGGGCTGAACCCACTTGCGATTGGTCTTCCTTTGGTAATGAGCCACGAAGACGTGGATAAATTCGTCGATGGCCCTTTTCCTCTTGTAGGAACGGGCGCCGTCGGTCTGCAGAAACAACGCGGCGCCCCTGTAACCATTTTACAACCTGGGGTTTCAAACCTTTCTTTGTGATTGGCCCAAGACCAGGCGATCGCACTCTCGCTGTTTCCAGCGGCGCTCTGAAGGCCCAGCTTCCGCGCCGTGCCGCGCCACATTGTCGCCAGCCCCGAATCTGATTTTCGGCCCCAGCTTCTTCGCGAAACGAGAGCGAGCAGCGTCCAGCCGCGATGCAAAACGTCTCGCACAATTGTCATTGTGTTCTTACGATAAATGTTGTTGTTGCTGCCCACAGTGAATCACAATAATGGCTGCGCCTGCGCTGCCAACGGCTTGCAGCGCTTGCCACTGCCTGTCTCGCAGACCAGGTGGTTCGCGTAAGACAATATCTAAAACAATGCTTGGCGTTGCGCGCGCATTTGAGAGCACCGCTGCCCACCCGCCGTGGCAGCTCATCAACGCTGCGCGCGCCGCAGACCGGGGAGACGCATCCAATCTAATTCTTGAACAGCCCCGCAGCCGTCGCAATTTTGAAGCTTCCGCTTGGCGCGCAGCTCGATGCCGCGGCCGACGCAGAAGGTTTTCTTCCAAAGCGCAGACAACCACTTATTGCCAACATTCTCACGCCACGCTTGCATGCGTCGCTTCTCCCGCGAGCGCGGGGAACATGGCGCGGGGTCGCCTCTCGGTGGCTTTCGACGCCCAGTGCCCTGTCGCTTGGTTGTGGCGCCTGTGCGCGGTCTTCCCCCGCAGAAGCTCGGGCGCCCGCAACTTGAGCTTTCGACGTCGCGGGCTGCGCCCTCCATTGTTGCGGGGTTGGGGGCGTCGGGCCACGCGGCAGGGGAAGAACGCGCAGACTGCCCAAGCGCGACGCTGCCGACGTGTCATGGTGAATGGCTCGGTCCGATGGCGGAATCGCACATGTCGTCGACGTGGCCACCATGAATCTTCGAGGCCATAAAATGGCCGCGCCCTCTTGCGCGCGGCCGCCAACGCACGACTTCGGAGCGGGCGAAAACAAAAAGATTGAATGTCACGCCGCATACCGGAAGCCATCAGACTGACGA